GGGAGGAGAGTAATGGTGATGACGAGGAGGAGATGAGGAGGAGACAAGGCGGAAAGTAATGGTGGAGATGAAGAGGAGACGAGGCGGAGAGTGATGGTGGTGACGAGGAGGAGATGAGGAGGAGACAAGGTGGAGATGGCTGAAGGATGGGAGAGGATAGTGGTGATGGTCGTGGTGGTGAATGGTGATTCCGAGAGGAGGGTGGCTGGGTGTGAAAACGGAGTCGAAGAGGGTTCGCCGGAAATCTCACCGGAAATCGCCCCCAAAACTGCCTCAGATCCAAATGGCGTGATTAGGATTCTTTTTACCAGAAAACCCTAAAAAAATATTTATATGCTGTGTAATTTTTTGGTTAGGTTAAATTGGTTAATGTAGACTGAAATATACGTCTACATATAAGTAGACTGTACTGTAAGTCTACTATACCCTAAATATTGGCGCCAATATGGAAAAATAGGCTCCAAAATTCATTTTCACTTCCCTCTTAGTTAATTTTAATTTTTAAAATAATTTATTTTGGTAAACACAAATTAACGTAGACTGAAATAGACGTCTACATATAAGTAGACTTTACTGTAAATCTACTATACCCTAAATATTGGCGCCAATATGGAAAAATAGGCTCCAAAATTCGTTTTCATTTCCCGCTTAGTTAATTTTAATTTTAAAATAATTTATTTTAGTAAACACAAATTAACGTAGACTGAAATAGACGTCTACATATCAGTAGACTTAATTGTAAGTCTACTAAACCCTAAACCAGAAATCTCAAACCCTAAACCCCAAATCTCAAACCCTAAACATTTGATTGATTAAAAAACAAATCTTAGTCATTGTACCAAATATCATATATACAAAATATAAACTACTCAACATTAAATATGCAATTTTGAATCATTAAAACAAAATAATTCTAAATCTAGAATCTGACCCTAAGAATCTAACTCTAAAAGACATAACATGTTAGAACCTTTGGTTGCTAAACCATTAACATTGTGTACCACATAGTTCCCAAATCAATATACATTCTTTAAAATTGTTCAATTATAAGAAAATTTAATTTATCTACCTCATACTAACCTTTAAATTGATGATTTATTAAAAAAATTACCAAAAACATTTTTTCTANTTAAGATGTAGACTAAATAATAAGTCTACATTAGTTTACACAGTAGACGTTAATGTAAGTCTACCTAGTTGTAGACTTCTTTCTTAAAGTGTAGACCTACGAAGGACAGAATCGTAAAATATACTGCACGTTTTTTGTTTGTTCATAAGGGTTAAATAGTAGTTTTAACACCCCTTTAGGTTGGGTTTGCAATTGATTGGATAAGGGGTGCACCTTTAGGGTTAAAATGAATATTTGGGTTGGTTTTGGCAATTCCCCCCTCTACCAATCACTTTATTAAAAACTTTAATGAAAAGATACAATTTTTGCAGCATACTCATTCTATAACGTACTGCTCATATTTTATCATTTGTTCTACCAATCGGGGTCTAAGAAGAAGAAACATATGACGAAGTAAAAATTTACATATAAAACAGGATATGGTAACCAAGATTAATTGTTGGTTCTAGTCGGTTGTTTATTTTTTAAACAAAAATAATTGATAATTATGTGAAATTAGTAGATATTAACTCAGTGGCATGAAGTTGTAATTCTTAAAGAAAATTTAAGGTATTTCAAATTTGTACTTATGTTTTAACAGTTTAGATATATTTTTTTGTTGCCGAATATATAGTGCCAGATTATAGTATCAGCCGTCAAACATTCATTTTAGATAATTTAGTTGCTAATAACAAATTATTTTCTCTTAAATATTTAGTTTTGATATTGAATGTACCTTTAATTAGCATTACATTTATAATGCTTTCAATACTTTTACATATTTCATAGGACTATTTCAAATTTAAATAACAACCTTTTAATAGTAGATAAAAATAGGACTCTAAATTAATAGATTGGATTTTTAAATGTTTTTTGTACTATTATTTAAATCTATAATTGATTTGTGTTTAATTAGATTTAATTACAATATTTATGGACTATTTGATATATGTTAAGATATTTAGTTTAAACAATAAGAATTTTAAATTTTAAAAACAATTCATTAATATTTTTAAAAAAATTATACTTATGTGTTAATTTTATATATACCTAATTGATGAAGTGGTTTAAAGAAAGAGATACCAAGTCCTCTTTTTATATATAGATAGATACATTTAAATTTTGAGAGAACAAAAAGAAACTAGTCATTTTTCTATATTCATTCAACTTGGTTGTATAATATCTCTCAAGCATGACTTTTGAATATCATGTATAACACTAGATTTTTTTTTTTTTGAAAGATACAGCACTAGATTTTTACTGCATAATTTGGAATCAGCGAATCAGTGACAATACGTTATAATGAAAATCATGAGTAAATAAAAAGCCTAATTCCGCAATGTTATTTAACTTGTAGTTATAAAGATTACAAAACTTATTATTAATTTGGATGTCCATCATTTGTTCCTCTGTTTGTTTAGTCTGGAGGCAAAAAATATATACGGTAGTCCCTTTCTATATGTATATATATACGGTAATTGGATGTACAGACCTCATTATGGAATTAAGTTGATATACTAGATATGTTGGTATGCTAAGAGTTGTATACACTGATATGGCCCAAATAAAATCCTTGCACACGTATGATCTAAACAATTTAGAAAAACCTAAGAAAATGTAAACAAGATTCCAAAAATGATTCATTGAAAGACTGATGAGAGATGTAACATAATTTCCCCAACCGCATATGCATAGATTTAATATTTAGATGGTTTAAGAGAAAATACAAACATAATCTATATTTGATTTTGAGGTGGAATAAAGTAAGGGGCCATGGATGTAAAATTTCCACTGGTAATGATGTAATCATCTAAACATACAGTGGTCATTTCATCAAAATCCAAGAGTTCAGCGAAGTTAGAGGGTTTGTCAGTAGCAGAGTCACAGAAAGCTTCAGATTTAGAAATGAAAATGTTGAGATCACCTATGTCTTGAGTGTAAACAGCTTTTCCTTGTTCTTCTAGCTTGAAAACCATTACACCTCTGGTTTTCATTTTCGACAAACATTTTGGGGTAGCCTTTCTAAACCACTTGACTAAGAAAGTCTCGCATGTGGTTCGTGACTCCACCAAATGTTCGCTCACGGAACAAGAATACAGAAGCTCCCGCTTGGCCTTTGTCAGCTCGGGAAGGTTTTTAAACTGCAACCTCTGAAACTTGTGTTGTTTGCCCAAACGATCCCATGAACCAATGAGGTGTCCTCCTGATCCGGGCATGCGAAACATGTCATCTTTCTCAGAAAATATGACACGGGAAGAGAAGAAACAAGGGTTCTTGATCATGATGTTGGTCCACTTACATTGAGCTGGTCTGCAAAGGCTGAGTTGTGGTCCCAAGAACTTGACAGCCACAACACAGTCTTCATCCTCTGGGGAAGATGTAGACATAGCCACGTTGGTCACAACTTTGGTTTGGCAATGAGGTAGAGTCACAAGAGGAGGCAGAGCTATGCGTTTTGGATTGGTGTCAGATGCAACCGGGTTCAAATCATCTTGGAGACGCACTATGCCGTCCTCCTTCAAAGTAGCTACCCAACCATGAGATGCCCCGACCGTAACCATTCCATTCATCAACTCTAGAGGAACCTTCTTTTCCATATAAGTGTCGCAAAATTCTTTATCAACTCTAATGACGAGTCTTCCGAGATCCTCTCCACAAGGTTCAGCTCTGGCGATGGAACAAGCTGGGGTTTGCAACACGAAAGATGAGAAGCCATTGGAGAGAAGACTAAAACATGATCTTCTCAGCAACGCTGGTTCCACAAGGGGGAGTTTCGAGAGCTGGCTGAGAAGTAGAGACATGAAAGATGATAGTGATTTAAAGCAAAAGACTGTAAAACCTAATTCAAGACATCAGAAAAAACTTTATTTAATACAGAGTATTGGCCTTGCCCACCAAGTTAGTTAGTTTATATATATTCATTCTTTAAACTATTTCCTTTAGTGGGGGTTGGTTATCCATTCTCGGTATTTTGCTCCTCCCATTAAATGTCAACAAGTATCTTTACTCTAGGGAATAAATATATTTACATATCTCATTTTTTTGTTCTTTAAAAGCAACAAGAGGTTATGATCATTTGTAATACTTACAGCCAGATTAAGTGGTCAGGTCAACACACTTGAAAACGAGCTAAACCTAAACGGGTGTTTAGCTTTTCATCTCGTGACATTCTATCATTTTCTTTTCACATCAACACTAGTAAAAACACTTTTTATCTAGTTGCAAATAATCTATGTTGAACCATTACATTTATTTTATGCTATGTTACATAAAATAAATTTAGTTATTATTAAATAAACACATAACATTAATGTATTATTTAAATATATCCAAAATAAGATATCAAAAAGATACTCTTAACTAATTTTTACAGATTATATTTTAACAATATCTTAAATATATTATTATTTTAAAAATAAATATTTATTATTTTAATATTATTTAAATAATAAAAGCGTAAAATAATATTAAATTCAATTACAAATGAATATTAACTCATTTTGATTTATAGAATAAGAAATAACTTTCAAAAATATTTATATATAAATATTTCATAATTTTAATTTAAAAATTACACAAAATAATAATTATAAAATAACTTAATTTATTTTTATAAATTATAAACTAAATGAATTCCATTTACAGAATACCATATATTTATATAGTTTACAACATATTTCAACTTAATAAAACAAAATACTACCATAACATATTTAAAATAAAAAAAAATTTCATATTTTAATATACATATCTAAATTAAAACATTAGGATATAATGTAATATAAAATACAATACTAAATTTGGTTGACGTAAATATTATTTGATTATATAGTATATGGAACTATATATTATGATTCCAATTATAGTTTCTTGCAGATTATTTCATAAAAATGTAAACAATAAAAAATTTATACATATTTTACCTTTAATTATTTAAATATAATTAAAATTAATATGAGGCAGGTTATATAAATGAATTATCTTATTTTCATAAAATTATATCTGTACAAATTTTAATTTAATTAATATACTTGCCAAGGTAGAGTATCCTATAGCTTTAGTTTTTTTTTTTGTAAAATCTGAACATCGTTAATATGATATTAGCGTTCTTAGCAACAAAAAAAGGTACATATATATATGATTTATATTTTGGGTGAATAAAAATTTCTAGACCATTTAAGTTAGGTTTTAAGTTGGACTTGAGCATTCAAATATCCATTAGGATACAGGTTGGGTATTTTGAATGTTGGTTCTAATTTATTTCATATCCTAGATTTCATTGTGCTAAATTTGTAAATATGGATTGAGGTTTAGATATAACACATTGATTTTGGTTCTAATTTGTATCACATCATAAAACCATAAAGTAATCATATATCTTTAAAATGTGGCTTATACTGGTTCGGTCCGGACATATCCAAAATTTTAAAGCAAAACAGAAGAAATAAATATTTATTTATATAGAAGCATGTATTTAAGGTACTGCTTAAAATTTAAATATTTATTTTTGGATATCACTTAAAAATAAATATAGATTTGAATTATATATTTATGTTTCAAAAATATTTATATTTGTGATTTCAAATTGGTTTTTTCAAATCTTAACAGGTTTTTTCGGGTTATTGGTTTGGATTGGCTAATAACACTTCAATTTTGATATATTATGTACCACTACCACCCTACAAGATATCTTATGGTATTTTTGCATTTCAGATCATGTATGGATAGGATTTTTGTAGTTTGGGTTCGGCTTGGACTTCGGGTTATGGATTTTATGCTCAACCATATTTTAAGTAAAGAGAAAAGATCCTATTATATAATGTTTTCACCGAAAATTTATCTGGCACTTTGAAAGCACGGACCAAAATCTAGTCTTATATATTAAAATAGAAGTCATAACTTCATTTCATGTGTGATATTTCAAAAAATGGACCTTTCCTAAAAAATTATTTTCATTTATTATAAAACATTTTGTCATCATAACTGAATCACCTCGCATATTATCTCACTATAATAACTACTTTGCCTATAATATTGGTTCGGTTTACCAAAATAATTTATCATCGTTAATAAATCACATTATAGATACACGAGTATAGTGACATTCTCTTATACGGCAAGCTTGGTGTATATATACTTTATACATAATATTAAAACAAATCTAATCTATTCTTCATAAGGGTAACTCTTAAACCCTTTTGGTTTATACAATTAATAAAAATAAATGTAGTGGTTAAAAAAAATTAACTGAAAAAACAAAAATATAAACAATAAAATTATTTTGTTTGAAAATAATATAAATATATAATATATATACATAAAATTGAAATAAGACCCGCACGGAAAATAGAAACAAATATTTCTTTTAAATTGTTTTTTAAAATACTTCTTCATTTTAATTTTGAAATTTAATCATTTAAATTATTATTATCATTAAAATATTATTAAAAGTATTTTATATATTTATTAATTTTTTTGCAATCAAAAGTAAACTAAAATTTAATTTTAAATTGATTTTATGATAATTATAATTTTAAATATATAATTTAGAAATAATATTTTAAAAGATTCTAAAACATTTCTGAAATATTTTGGTAGAATTTTCTTTGAAATATTTATTGTATTTCAAAATAAAAATAAAGATATTAAAATATATTATTACTTGATTTTGACCCGTGCTTAAGAACATCAGATATTTTTTTGTTGACTGTAAAGAAAAATATTAAATGAATTTAAGATTATTATATATATATATATATATTATTTAAAAGCAGTTTTATTATTGTTATTTCAATCTACTCGTATGTTTTCATTGTATTTTCATATCTGGGTCAGACTTGTGGTCGTACCGATAGATCCATTTACTCGTATATAGTAAGAGTAATATATAATAAACAAAAATATAGCAAAAAATATCTTTAAAAGAATATGCAAGACCGTTATTAATCTACAGAAAATAATAGTTTTGATATATCAATATATATTTGACTTGCATAAGAATATTTTTTTTGTACGTAAAATTTGATCAAGCATTTTCATTATTTGTAATTTTTTCAATATATATTATATCTAGATTTTGATATCTGCTTTGAAAAGCGCAGTATTTTTTGAATTATAAACAAATTTTTGGTTTGTTATACAATATTAGTTTAAAAAGTCATATTATATAGAAGCAAAAGATTTTTTTCTTTTAAAAATATATATATAATTTATGAATTAGTGTATTTGAGATTTTGTATATACGTTTTTATGTAACTCTCTCTCTTAGAGTCTTGGGCGTCAACAGTTTACTCCGACTCAAAAAATTGAATCGAAACCGACTTGAAAATACATGTTCAGTTCGGTTGGGTCCACGAAAAAAACATATTAGGTATTTTCTGGACCCGCGGATCTCTATTCGAGTTTAAGTTCTATCTGAGGCCCAATCAAACATCTAAAATACAAAAAACATTTTGCGTATATTAGTTATATTTCGTTATTTCAAATTGGTTTTCGGTATTACGTATATTTTTTAAATGTTGAGTTCAGATTTTTGGTAATAATTTTTGCTTTCGTATAAATTTTTAATTTATAGAAATATATTTTTGGTATCTAGATAAAATTTTGGTAGTTTTTGTTTCTCTTGGTTAGATTTCAGAGAAAATTTAGGTTTTCAGATACTTCAAAAAAAATTTGGGTCTTAAATTCCTAAATCGGTTTGGACTGTATAAGTTATATGTATCTAGAAATCAAATACATGTATTTTACAGCTATTTGAATTTGGATCTGAATCTAGTCGGACCCGAAAAGAACCAACGCAAGCCGAAATTTTTTAAATGTCTAATTAATAATAATAACATATAAATAAATATGAGTTAGAGGTTATCTTTGATATTAAAATTTTATATTAAGAGTTAAAATGTTCATATCGAAATCATTATATAGTTTTCATTTTTATTAAAAAAATAAAAAAAAAAATATATTAAGCTATTAAATTATTAGTAAAATGCATAATATAGTAAGTTATTTGTTACTAAAAGTAACCTGTTGATTTTTATTAGGAGGTGATACATGTTTTTCATTTTTAGTAGAATTCAAACAATCCCGCAAAAACTGCAACCATACGATATTAAATATAACTATTATATGAATAGGTTTCATCTTTAATTTTTTAAATTGCAGTCAGATCTTTTCTTATGATTTTAAATCATATCATAAAAATTCTGAAATTTGGAATATTGTATGGGTGAAAATTTTATCAATACCTAAAATATTATGATTGGCACATATTGTTCAAAAGGAAAAAAGATTGACACCATTTTATTCATATATATATATATATAAATTCTTATACGATTATGTCCCTATGTAATTTTGGTTTTGGTTTGTATTAGCCGTTCGTTATGATTAGAATAGGATACTATATAATTCACGTGAATTAGTAGTATCAAAGCATATTTATGTAGTTGTCGTGGATTGTTACTATAATATTCTGAAGATATTATTGATATTTTTTAGCAAAAAAGAAAGATATTAATGATATTCCAAATAAGAGGGGTGCATATAGGATTAATATTAGGAGATGTTTATATAGATGATCTTAGCTAATCTTGTTTAGAAATATTAATGAAAAGGTCCAACAACTTGATTTAAATAGATTTTTTTAGTCTCCTTCTCTTTTAATAGTATTGATGTAAAATTCAATAGTAAAGATGTTTAAAAAATTCTAACAGACTGAAAAAAAAGATTCCAACAAGATCTCAATTTAAAATTTTAAGTAAATATTCTAATTTCTTAATTAATAAAAACATATTACTTTACT